AGGAGACACTTCTACTGTGATACAAGTCAACAGTGACCTACAGTTATTTCTATTCTCTAGGGCAGGGATCCTCAATGTGGTGCCCATGGGAGCCACGGCACCCACTGACACCTTTCTTGGAGCCTGCCAAGTGTTTTTAGAAAGTGTACAGGGCCAGGTGGGCTACTGGCCACTGGATATTTGATTGGCTGTGCAGGTTTTCTTTAAAAAAACACATTGCTTTGACAGCAGCTGCCAGCACAACAGAAGGATCTTCAGGGTATGGTTGAAGGTAAATACTGGCACCCATTTTGTGGCTGGCTCCTCCTTCTGCAGCAGCCATTTTGTAGCTGTGCCCGCCATGTGTTGTCAGAATTCCAAAAGTACCCACAGGTTCTAAAAGGCTGTGGATTCCTGCTCCAGTTTCCCTCCCCTGTTCCTTTGCGGCTCTCAGCTCTTTCTTTTCCCATTACTTGCTCCTTTTATTTATTTAAAAAATGTCACACCTCCAAACAGCCTGCTCAAGGTAGTTCACAGGGGGAAATAATGATGCAATAATAAAACAGAATAAAATCATTAAAACTAACGAACCGTGAAAAACCCAGCCATCAAAAATGCACAATAATGGGGACCCCTGCCCTAGGAATTCTACAGTGCTCTGACAGCTACTCAAGAGTGTAGTCTGGCAGCTGAGGTTTCAATGTCTATGAAACTTAAAACATACATGCACATACAAGGGCCCATTCTTATATGCCCAAATTTCTTAGAAAAATCAACCATTTCCGAATCATAAGAACTTAGGAGGTATTATCAATTTTTAAATGAGGAACTGATATAGAAGACAAAGTGAATGAATTTAGACAAGGAATGGGAATTTAGCCCATTTGTTCAGTTTCAAACTACTTCGTAGAAATGCTCTCTTCTTTACTAGCCAACAGGCTCGAAAAGGTTGGGGACCCCTGCCCTAGGAATTCTACAGTGCTCTGACAGCCACTCAAGAGTATAGTCTGGCAGCTGAGGTTTCAATGCCTATGAAACTTAAAACATACATGCACACACAAGGGCCCATTCTTATATGCCCAAATTTCTTAGAAAAGTCAACCATTTCACAATCATAAGAACTTAGGAGGTATTCTCAATTTTTAAATGAGGAACTGACATAGAAGACAAACTGAACGAATTTAGACAAGGAACGGGAATTTAGCCCATTTGTTAAGTTTCAAACTACTTCGTAGAAATTCTCTCTTCTTTACTAGCCATAGTCACATAATGAGTGAAAGATCTTATTTATTTGTCAAACAGTTCTAGGGAGTGACTACAAAGACAGAATGGATCAATATTTGTAGTAGGACTTAAATATGAAAGCTGTAAGTCAACTTTAAGGAAGAAGAAAAATGAGTGTATTATAAGCAAAGGTTGGCCTTACTGCTGAAGCTGTTTTTTAAAATAAATATATAGGTTTTAACTATAGTAGTTACCCTGCATCCCCTTTCTGTGGTCACAAATGGGGTCAATGTCTCTTCCCTTTTAGTTCATAAACCAAGAATGTGAATTTGAATATTAATAATCACTTTATTCATCTGAACAAAGGTACACTTGTTGCTAGGACTGATATGCCTCTATTCTGTTGGCATCACTCCAGATCATTTTAGTCAGCACCTTTCCAGACTGCCTTTGCCAGATTTGGAATCATCTGTCAGATTTTAGAGAATTCCTAGGCAAAATTGGAGGTGGGCCAGTAAAAGGAATGTGAGGCTAGAACTAGCCACTTAGCATGATCGAAACTGAGCCCCCTGAGACAATGGCTAGCACATCAAGGAAAGTGGGTGGGTATGCAAGATATTTAGAAGTGTCCTGAGAAGCAGATCAACCCTCGAACAATCAAGGTAACATGGTAATGTTATTATACAAGTGAGGTCTCACAAAAACTTGTGCGAGTGGCTATCTCATTCCTTTTCCTTTTGTTGCCGGCCCACCACTCGAATGAAAGACGAGACAAGTAATGGATTAAACTGGGAACTTTATTTATACACAAGCTGATCTGCACAACTTAGTTAGCATGTTAAAGCATGGGTTGTATAGGGCTTGCAAGGCAAGGACTTCCTAACAGGGCAAAACCATCCCAGTTCAGAGCCAGGTCCGGAATCCTTCCGAACCTTTCTCCTTATGGCCCACACGTAAGTTTGTAGACAGGATGGAGGGGCACAGTCTTGCCCATGACTGCTAAGCCTTAGGGCTCATCATATGTTCCTCCAACCCTGAAGGGGCCCCCACTGAGCCACCCAGACTGCCAAGCGATAGGTAACCAGTTTGAGGGACCCCCCTATCACTGATATCTCAGGGTGCTTACCAACTCTAAATCCCCTCAAACCATGCTCTTGTTGCCACAGAGGGGGTTAGCCTTGGCTTAAGTCCCCTCCTGCCACCTGCATACCACCCAGTCATACAAACCAACCTGCAGATCTGCTAGAAAATGTCTGTTCCAACAGCAGACGGATGAACCCCTTTGGGCCTGAAAAGATGCCCAAGAACTTGATCCTGGGGGGTGGAATCACTCTTTCACGTCCAAGAGACCACTGACCTGCCAATCATGTTGTTTAGCCAGTGCTGGGCCTTGCCAACTCTGGACAGCATACCCTCCTCCAAACTCAACTGGGCAACATATTGGACCAGACCAGCAGTCTCAGGAAACGAACGCCTAAGGGTCTTCAAATTTTTATTCTTCCCTCACTTTCTCTTGCTACCTGTCAGTCTTTCTCTTGTTCTGTTCACCCCAGCCCCACTGTCACTCTTTGTCTTTCTTTCTTGATTAGTCCTCCAATCTTTTCTTTCGCACACTCACACTCCCAAATACCTTGTTACACACACCTTCTTATTCCATTCCCAAATCCCCCCCTCACACACACAGAGTCTGTCTTTCTCCTGTCTTTATTTCCATTCCACTGCAGCCTCCCCCCACATACATTGGTCTGTGTTGCACCTCCACAGCACTGGGAGGCAGTTAGGGCCGGGCCGGGGTGTGTGTGAGCTAGGCTAGTGAACAGCTTACACTGAGGCAGTTTGAGGGAGTGCTTCTCCCCTGCTCCACTGCTCTGCCCAGCCTTTTCAATAGCCGAAGGGAGAGTTGGGGAAAGTGGTTGAGGCAGCAACACTGGAGTTTCCTCACCCACCTGTCCTTCATCTTGCATCACTCCATCTCCCTCTTCCTGTCTGGTTGTCCTCTCCCTCATCACCTCATAAATAACATGTAGTGGGGGCTGCTGCAGTCTTATGCCTCACACCTCCCAACTTTCTGCCCGCCTACCTCCTGGCCATTTTGCCCACACTCTCCCTCTCCACTTGTAGTGCTGCTGCTTCTACCATGAGGCTGCCATTCCAATGGAGCTGCATTGTCTGTGCACATATGCAGAGAACACTCCTCTGTTTTGGGTGGACTTGGCCCGCTTTCCATTGCCCCACCATTTTCAGATTTTTTTCTGCAAACCTGGGGGAGAAAAGTCTACTTTGTGTTATTAAAGTGGCTTTGATATGTGGACTTAAATATCCACAGATTGGGGCACACTTCACTGTTTGATACAAGATTGTATCTTTCAACATAATCAAGTAATCAAGGCTATAGTCTAAGCAGCAGCTCCATTCACACCAGCTCTCATTTAAACAGGCCAACCAGATTTTTCACACCCTCCTACATACTGCCAGCATCCCAACCATCCAGCACATCGCCAACTTTTATATACTACTCTGCACATGCACATTGTTCATTCGCCTGTCTCCTCTCTGCATGCTCTGGGCTGTGACACACTCATTAAATCCAGCCTAACTTCTTCAGGTTTATTGCCTCGACTTGCTGCTGGATCACCTGCTTAAATTGCTTGCTATGTGCCTTTTCCTGGACCGCTCTCCAAGCCACTGCTGGTATGCCAGTCTGAGGATCAACAGATCTAGATCACCCTAAATGATTCCCTGACACAGAAGTTAGGTAATATTTCCCTGTGTCTTCTTTCCCACCTTTGCTTACTTCTTATTGCCCTTTCTCATGTTCTTTGAAGTATGTTACTCATGGGAGTAACTACTGGGTGGGTTCCAGAATCAAGTACTGGTACTGATGGCTCCATGGTATTTTGTGCTGAAATGTATTGAAACATTGCTCTGACTGCTTACCTGTTCTTTAATTTTTGTTTTTTGCCATGGTGACCCCATAGGGTTTTCAAGGCAAGAAACTTAGAGAGGTGGTTTGCCATTGCCTACCTCTGCAGAGTGACCTTGGTATTAATTGGTGGCCTCCGATCCAAATACTGACCAGGGCCAATCCTGCTTAGCTTCTGAGATCTGATAAGATTTCACTATTCTGATTTTTTGCAATAAAGTATCTCTGATTATTCCAATTGATTACAGATTCTGTTTTCCTTTCTAAGCTTACTTTGGAGCTCTGTCACTTTTCATTTAGATACCAGGCATCTGGACACAAAGTAATTAATACCTTTATGTTTGAGCTTGGACCTGAGTCTTGTTCAGACAGAAATTTATATGTGTTGCCCTAAGAACATCTGATAATACTCTTCTATGCTAAACATCTATGCTGATGCAGTACAATGTAATATTTTTAACACATACACTTAGCCTTTAAAAAGCTTAAATATTTAATACCTTTATGTTTGAGCTTGGACCTAAATATATACTAGAACAACAGGCTGTTGTAGGACTAGGCACCAAATATCAGGTGAAATCAGTTACATTTTTCTCCAACAAACGGGACATACATTTACACATAAATATATATATTGTGTATATGTGTGTCTGCTTGCCTCAATATTTGACCACAACAGTTTACTATGAAGAATTTTATTAGGTTTTCAAATAACCTCTCTCCAAGTTGATGAATAACATTACGTTAGTCATGTGGTCTAACAGGAACTCTGAATAAATTTTATTGAAGAGAAATACAAGATTACCATCGGGAAATATACTTACCATACTGCTTTTTAAATTATTTTTATAATAAATTATATTTTAATACTTACTATGGTACTTCTGGTTTTGCTGTCAAAAAAGGACTCTTTATCAGACAAGTCAAATCTATTGGAACATTAGAAGAGAAAAAAAGAGGAAAAAAAGTAAGATAAATTAGCCATATTTTTGGTGCTTCCAGGGTTTCCCTAGCAGAGAGAATGACAATCAGTTCATAATCTCCTTTCTTCCTTGATGTTAAACAATGATCTTCAGACAGCAGCCATTCCTCTTTAGATGACTCAAAGGGCCAAAGACTTATGTAAGCGAAATCAATGTCCAATATTTAGTTGGTTTCACAAAAAAAAAGAATCAAGTTCTTTTACTCTTTCCTACACAGTGGTAGTGCCTGTTTCCTTTTTCTGCAATATTAACGTGGTTGTCTATTTACTTCATGTACTCTTATTTACAAATCTTACATACTTACTAAGTAATAGTAGAATCACAACTGGTACAGTACAAATGTAACTTAGTATGATAAAAGGTATCATCGTTATTCTGCTGAGAAGAACTGCAGTACTCCTACAATGCTAGCTGAAATGAGTATTAACTGTCACACAGAGATTCTAAGAAGACTTACGTCCTGTATTTCAGTGCTGTTCTAGTTGTGACATTACACTTCCTGAAACGGCAGATATTTCTTCCTAACCGATTACTTAGCCACGATTTTCCATTAATTCAAATGAATATTTATCATGTGACAGATGCTGAAAATTGATCACATGGAGACTCCATCAGTTTAATGAGTTGGGTACTGTAGTTTTCAGCCATGCAAAGAGGATTTCTATGCAGTTCTGAAAATCCATCACCATTCTGCAGACAACCTCTGGTCAGTGGCTCTATATATTCATTGTGTGATATTTTTCAAATTGCTACCACACGGTAAATAGTCATGTCATTCTCCTTCTAGCAAGTGGTTCAGAGCAGGCCACTGATGTGTTTGCTGCAATGTTTACCAACAGTGCCTAATAGGATACCTAATGGCCCAAGGGGACCCCACTATGTGAGTTCATTTTGATTGTGACCTTAACAGACTTCAATGTAAGAGACCTACTCTTTCCAAATCAGGAACATTGCTTTTACCCAGTGCTTGACTGTAGTTTGCTTATGGAGTCATTTGAAGACTCCTGCACAGACTAAAATCATATTTGGACACAAACCTTTTTGAGACGCTTTTGGACTGTAAGCAAGTAGCATAAACAACTGTGGGATGAGAAAGAGTGAAACTATGTGGACTCTTTTATTTTCATGTTGTTAAATTTAGGAAGATTTTCAACATTTCTTTTTAATCCATTTTACATATGGAAGTCCAGTAGGAGAATTCTACTTTTAGCCAGGAAGATTGAATTTATTGGAAAACATCATTTTAATGCAAGTTGTAACGAAACTCTGGCCTACATATTGCTATTAATATTCTCATTCGTAGCTTCAAGTTGTATTCCCAGATGCAATTCTGTTGGAAAAGATAACAAATACAGATTATGAACCTTGACTTACAAGTGTTGTTTCTCCCTAGAGAAGGGGTAAGAGAGACGTTTCACTGTCTGTTGTTTGTGTTCTGCCACTTTAGGTTGAATGGGCTCTGTAATTTTTTGAATTACAGAATTTATTTTTTTCAAGAGGCCATGTGGTTGATGAATTTGGTATACCTAAGGACAGAGAAGACAAACCATCCTTTATTTCCTTGAAATCACTGAAAAACATATTGAGGATTCAAGAACACAAGAAATCTGAATGGAGACAATAAAAAACAAGTGACTAGGATTCTGTATTAAAAAACAGATGGGGATTGCTCAGCAACTTGCCGCTCAAATACTTAGGGTAGGGTAGGTCCACATTTGTCAGCTAAAACACAATCTAAACATTAACCCAATTTATACATCTGCAGAATTTTAGAGTTTTTTTTAAAACAATCACTCAGCATATACAACACCACAACTCTTCATACTTTGAACCACACTACCATTTGGTGGTTAAGGAAATAATGTTCCCTGAATATTTATGGATTCACTTACTTTGGAGGGCACTAGATATGATCAGAACCCTTCCCAACAATACAATCCCTATTTCAAATGGGTGGGCTATTTTAAAAGTTGGGAACATAATTAAAATAAGTAATATGATAAATGGAACTGGATCAGCCACTAATATAAAATTCCAACCCAAAGTTTAATTTTAGTTGTACTTGCAATAAATTACTTTGCACTCTGAGGCTGTCTCTTGCTCTATTAGAGACATTTCCATGCAGAGTCTGGGTCCTGCACTTAATATGCCATTAAATATTTATCCATTTTTCACTTCTGTACCCTGAACAGGTACAGCTACATCTGTCAGAAGCTTCAAATTTATCATATAATTTTGGTCTTTTATAATAACTATTCCAATATTCCTTGCAAATTGAGGGCTGGAACCTGCGAGTTCTCTTATGCTCCACTAATGTTACACATATTCATGGAATATTCACATGTGTAAGGAATGCCTGCTTGTGTATGTGGAGTACTAGACTGAAGAATGTATGGACTGTCCCACATCAAATCATAAATGTCACTCAACACAGAATCAGACACCATTTTCCTATCTCCTTCTGCTTCCCATCCTGCTATAAAAACCTTTCACAGCCTAGCAGGCTGTAATGGCTTCTAAAATCTGAGAGGCACAACAGATAATGCCCCACTCTGAAGTGGCCACCGGCAGCATGAAAGATGGAACCATCAAGAAGTTATTTATAGCAGATCTCTGTATTTTCTTACATATCCTGGTCCAAAGCTAAAAATGGTATTGTTGCACCTTTAGAAGAACACCCCTCCCCAAGTGTCATGCGCCTGAAGCATATGGAAAATGCTGCCTTGTTGGAAAGGGAACATATCCTTGTCTGTCCATGGATTGCCTGGACACATCACAAAATCTGGCATTTAGTATCTTCCCATCACCCCGCCTGCTTAATGTAGTGTTGACCTTATGGACACTGGTGATTTACAGGCAGCATAGGGCATGCAATCCACATGGACTTAGTACAAGATGATCACATTATGTTCTGGACTGGTCAGACTTGTCTACATGGCAGTGATTATGTTATACTGCAAAATGGTACCGAACATCTCCATGTGCCCATTAAAATGCAAATTTCTATGTGTCAGCATATTACAAAATCTGTCCACCTTAGCATCTCACAGCATTCACAGCTCATTCATTTGCATCACACTACAACTTGTATCACAAACTGGGTTAGACATGCCAGGTCCCCTGGGGGGGCGGGGGTCTGCCTGCTCAATGGGCCCCTTACTTGCCAGTCCTTCTCTGGCCGCTGGGGGGAACCCCACCTCCAAAGGGCCGGGATCGTGGCAACGTCCCTGGCATGATGACATCACCCGGAGGTGATGTCATAGTGCCAGGCATGTTGCAAACTCAGAAGACTCCCTTCTGGGTTCTGAGACAGATTCATTTTGTGACAGCTGGTTAAGACAATTCATTGAACTGCTTCTTTTACATGTGGTGGGAATTGCTCCCAAGAACACTAGGTGAATCGGCTGACACACTATTCCTTTGAAAAGCATAAACTAGAAACAACTATTTTATGCATCCCAATCTAAAAGAGATATTCAACAAACCTTTTTTGTAGGCATCTTCAGTTTCATAAATTCTGCTTCTCGGCACAAAGCACTCCAAGGTGCATGTATTTTTACAAATCCAAGACCATGTATTTTAGTCTTTAAAAAGGGAAGGGAGAGAAAGAAAAAACTTAGAACAAAAACACAAAAACACAAATGTTTCAAATTGCAAACAAATCCTAAAGGATTATTCTTCAATAAGAATGTTTAAAAATGAATTTATTTTAACAACTGGATGAAAACTAGCAGCAGTGAGAAAGCAATGGAGAACTGAAGAAGGGATGCACTGGCTATGGATGCCAACAAGCAGCCTGGAGGGGGGAAATTGTCCCGCCCCTTGAATAGAGGCTTGATGGGATGTTACTTATCTCCATGCATGAAAACCTTCACTTACCCATGTCCATTCATTAGGCCCACAAAGGACACACACACCCCGGCTGTTTCTTGGCAACTGTAGCACTGGGACAAATTTTTCCAATAAACCAAAATCCCTCAAAGAAGGTTTGTGAGCAGACAAGAATACAGTCAGTTTATTTTGTTGTTGTTCAGTCGCACAGTCGAGTCCGACTCTTCGCGACCCCATGGACCAGATCACGCCAGGCCTTCCTGTCTTCTGCCGTCCTCTGAAGTTTGCTCAATTTCATGTTAGTTGCATCTATGACACTGTCTAACTATCTCATCCTTTGCCGTCCCCGTCTTCTTTGACCTTCAATCTTTCCCAGCATCAGGGTCTTCTCCAGTGAGTGCTCCCTTCTCATTTGGTGGCCCAAAGTATTTGAGCTTTGGTTTCATTATCTGGCCTTCCAGGGAACAGTCAGGGTTGATTTCTTTTAGGATTGACTGATTTGATCTTCTTGCAGTCCAAGGGACTCTCTCTCTCTCTTTTTTTAAGTACCCATTAGGTACACTTTTATTATTTTTCATATTTTACACAACAAACATACATACAACATATCACAAACAACCACTTACAAACACAAAACATACAATTAGTATACTTTCTTATAACTCTATTACCATATTAAAAAGGGACTCTCAAGAGTCTTCTCCAGCACCATAGTTCAAAAGAATCAATTCTTCAGCGCTCGGCCATCCTTATAGTCCAACTCTCGCATCCATACATGACTACTGGGAATACCATTGCTTTGACCATGCGGACTTTTGTTGGCAGGGTGATGTCTCTACTTTTTATCATGCTGTTTAGGTTCGCCATCGCTTTCCTCCCAAGGAGCAGGCGTCTTTTAATTTCATGGCTGCAGTCACAGTCTGCGGTGATCTGGGATCCCAGGAACGTGAAGTCTGTCACCACTTCCACGACTTCCCCTTCTATTTGCCAAGGAGTGATGGGGCCGGATGCCATGATCTTAGTTTTTTTGATGTTGAGCTTCAAGCCCACTTTTGCGCTCTCCTCTTTTACCCTGAGCAAGAGGCTCTTAAGGTCCTCTTCACTTTCTGCCATCAGAGTGGTATCGTCTGCATATCTGAGGTTGTTGATCTTTTCCCCAGCAATCTTAATGCCCGCTTGTGATTCATCTAGGCCAGCATTTCGCATGATGTACTCTGCATATATATTAAATAAGCAAGGCGACAATATACATCCTTGTCGTACTCCTTTTCCTATGCTGAACCAATCAGTTGTTCCATATCCGGTTCTAACTGTCGCTTCTTGGCCCTTATACAGGTTTCTCAAGAGACATGTGAGGTGGTCTGGTACTCCCATCTCTTTAAGGCCCTGCCATAGTTTGTTGTGATCCACACAGTCAAAAGCTTTAGCATAGTCAATGAAGCAGAAGTAGATATTTTTCTGGTACTCTCTTGCTTTCTCCATAATCCAGCGAATGTTGGCAATTTGATCTCTAGTTCCTCTACCTCTTCGAAACCCAGCTTGTACTTCTGGTAGTTCTCTATCCACGTACTGTTGAAGCCTAGCTTGTAGGATCTTGAGCATGACCTTGCTAGCGTGTGATATGAGTGCAATTGTGCGATAGTTTGAACATTCCTTGGCATTGCCCTTCTTTGGGATTGGAATGTATACTGACCTTTTCCAATCCTGTGGCCACTGTTGCGTTTTCCAAATTTGCTGGCAAATGGAGTGCAGAACTTTAACAGCATCATCTTCTAAGACTTTGAATAGCTCAACTGGAATACCATCACCTCCACTAGCTTTGTTGTTAGTAATGCTTTCTAAGGCCCATTTAACTTCACATTCCAGGATGTCTGGCTCGAGGTCAGTGATTATACCGTCGTGGTTGTCAAGGACATCGAGGTCTTTCTTGTATAGTTCTTCTGTGTATTCTTGCCATCTTTTCCTAATCTCTTCTGCTTCTGTTAGGTCCCTACCGTTTTTGTCCTTTATCATGGCCAGCTTTGCATGGAACGCTCCCTTGATTTCTCCAACTTTCTTGAAGAGATCTCTAGTCCTTCCCATTCTATTGTTTTCTTCTATTACTTTGCACTGTTCATTCAGGAAGGCCTCCTTATCTCTCCTTGCTGTTCTCTGGAAATCTGCGTTCAGTTGGGTAAATCTTTCCTTTTCGCCTTTGCCTTTCGCTTTCCTTCTTTCCTCTGCTATTTGTAAAGCCTCATCAGACAGCCACTTTGCTTTCTTGCATTTCTTTTTCATTGGGATGGTGGTGATTGCTGCCTCCTGTACAATGCCACGAACCTCCATCCATAGTTCTTCAGGCACTCTGTCTATCAAATCTAGACCCTTGATTATTTATTTACTTATTTAGAAAAATGCACATGCTGCTTTTCCAGAGACTTGACATGGCTCATAAAAATAGTATAAGCATTATCAAGTCATAAAAACAAGCCAAGGGCATAAAGGTCAGTCACAAAATATTGCCCTGTCTATAAAACATCCTTCAGGCTAGAAGCAGATCATAAAAACAGCTTTAAAAGGATGGAACCCAGAGCCTGGGTAAAAAGAAATGTTTTGGCCTGGTGCCTAAAGGACAGTAACCAGGGAAACCTCAGGGAGAGGGGGATATTCCAAATAAGAGTGCCACCACTGAAAAAGACCTGTCTCTAATTACCCCTCACTTCACTTTTGCTGGTGGGCGGGGCTTGGGAGGAGAGTCTTAACTGGCAGGCTAGGCATGCATTGCTCTCTGTTCTCCCCTCTGCAGGTTGACAATATGACAACATCCGCTCACTGGCAATACATATGTATCAAGAATGCAGCCAGAGACTTCGAAAGGTAATTCTGTTTGTAAGGAGTGTGTGTATTTATTTCCAAATTTGTATGCTACCTTTCTGCCCCAATGCAATTGGTCCACAGTCACATCACTGCCACGTTTCTGCACACTGACATTCAGCAGGGTGAGGCTGGGGGGCACGAAACTTAAGAGCCTGTTGCACCATGCCTGTTTCACAAATTCATCCACCCTCCTTCCTAACCAGTGGCAGTGGGTATTTGTTAATCACGGGGGGGTGGGAGTTTTTATAGTGTGCCAGGTTCATTGATTTTGATCCCTTCCTCTTCTTCTTTTTGCCTCCTGGGCTCCAAAGTTGTTGGGGCAGATTTATTAGGGCACTAGTAGGTTGTTTGCATTATTAGTCACAGCTAACAATAACAGCGCAGATGAAGTCTTTAAGATGTAAGCTCAGAGTTTAGAGAGCACCCTGAGGTATTGACTGAATGGTGAAGGGGACATTTCTCAGACCAGAACCTCAGGGATAATATGGCTGTAGGGAACTGGAACAGAAACCCGCTTGGAGATGCCATTATCATTGACTCAAAGCTTCATGCTAGGAGAAGGGATATAGCATACCTCCATCAAACAACTGTAAATGCTTGGAAGGGAGAAGCCTGGGTCCCCTTGATGGATGCATTACCAGTGTGGACTTGCCCAAACAGTAAGGATACATAAGGAGAAGAGGCCTGACTCTTCTGCACCCCAGTACTTCACTATTTGTAGAAGATCTGTCCAGGTCTGGCAGATCCTTGTCAGCAGGGGTCACTCCCACAGGCTTCACATCACCGTAGTTTTTCACCTCTCTTCTGACCCTGCTCTTCTCAACCTCAGGAACCAGACCCAGTGTGTCCTCCCTAACCTATTTCTCTCTGCTTTATGAAGGGCTTGGCTCCTCTTGGGGTCAGCCTCTTTGGAGGCTCTACCATTCTGGAACTCCCATGGGGTCCAAACAATTCCAGTAGGAAGCTGCTGCTGCTCCCACATCACAGCTGCAAGTCATCTCTTTATTTCCCTACCCCTAGATGAGGGCTGCATCCCAGCTGCTCCTCAAGCAGTGGACTATTAAAGGCAGGGTTGCCAGCTGGAGACTGAAAGGGGGGGATCATCATCAGCACTATGACATTGCACTGGAGCGATGCACTTGCCCCACAGTTTCTACAGAGTTTCTGGCGAACACTACAGTGTTGCTCCGGTACAATCCCAGTGCTTCCGGGTCATATTAGAAGTGATGTCATTGCATGGTTATGAGATCACGCCATCATTTTGCTGGCCTTCTTCCTCCCATCAATCAGTTGGCAACTCAGTCATTCCTACAGTATATCTAATGCTATATATATCAGC